TGCAATACTGAGCAATGAACACGGCACGGGTGACTGCCAGGTCACAGGTTTTGGACCGACATATCACGGCATCTATTTAGGGCTACACAGTTTAATTTTTATATCAATCGTGCTCGATGATCAAACAATTTTCAAAATGAGCGCTCTGCCAACAGGGCGCTAAAGAAAAAAGCAAATACAGCGCTCTCTTCATCACTGCCTGACTCCACATGCCTGCATGTGATGTTTCAGCCTAATAACACTAGGATGAAAAACAGAAATGCAACAGGTAACAGATCATCAAGACAAAATGCAAACATCTGGCGTGGCAGGAGATGAAGTCCTGGATCCTTTACATGCAACACAGCTAATCGCAGTATGAAGAATACATAAAGGCCAGGAACACGTTACCTTCGTGAATTGCCCAGCATCAGCTCAGATGTCTATAAAAGCGAGCCTCATCAGTGTGTCTGTGTAACCATCAGTGTTGGGCAAGTTACTTTGAAAACGTAATTAATTATAGTTACTAGTTACTTCTTCAAAAAAGTAACTGAGTTACAATATTCTGAAAGTAATTAATTACTTGAAAAGTAACTATTGGGTTACTTAAAAAAAAAAAAATTATACCCTGGGGTCCCAGGTATAATTGGCCATTTTTAACTACTTTTGATTTTCCCTCCACATTTCACCTTTAAAAACTATTTACTTTGCCTTGTTTGGTGTCATCCTTTTCAGCACAACCTCACGTGTCTGAATGTAAACTTATGTTTTCATTTTGACATACTGTATTAACACAATTGATCTAAAATCAGACAAAAAACATAAAATCAGAGTAGAAAAAGTTATATTTTTTAGTGTAACAACCACAAACATGTTTAATGAATCACATTTCATAACTTTAAATGCAAATATAAATTGTCAATTTTAAAATCCTATGCACAAGTTTTGCAAACAACAAAGTTATTTACCTTTTACCTTGATTTTTTAAATAACCATTTCAAACTATTTACAGAACAATCAGCTGTTCTGCACTCAATAAGATGCCACACAAATTATTTGTGCCACTCCCAAAAAACAATTTCTGTCCACTATAAAGGAGAACATCACAGCCTGATGCCTGCAGGTCTGACAGCAGCAGGTGTATCACTCCTGTTTCTACCTGGAGACAGCAGTCGCCTCATTGTTCTGACACACAACACAAAACTGTCCACAACACTACAAACTAACTACACAAGACAACTACACACTCCAAACACGCTAAATGTCACAAATCTCTCACATATCAAAACTCGCTCTCTCTCGTTTTCTGCTCGCTCTCTCTCTCTCTCTCTCGCCGTCACTCCTAAAACGTCCTGTTTTTTGTTTTTGTTTGTTTGTTTGTTTTTGCTCATAAGTAGAGAGTGCTTGCTAGCGCTGTCCTTAGACAGTAAATGTGACGAAACTATTGAGGAAAAAACGCCGCGTATATATTGTTTATCATGACTGTGGTTTTACGTGGCCTATCAACACAATTTATAAACTGGTATATATCACCTTGTTGCTTTGTCTTTAAGTGGGCATGTGATCAGCTTACCACGACTACTTTATTCTTCTGCAGTCAAACAGCAGCACTCATGCTAGGACTGGGCGATAAGACCCAAAATTCATATCTCGATATTTTTTAGCTGGATGGCGATATACGATATATATCTCGATATTTTTTTAAAGCCATAAAGAACAAAAAGAGTTCTTAGTCACGCTGTGTCCCAGATGTCACACAGGCACTTTTATTAACATACAGCGTAGATGTACATGAAAAAAATTACTCAAAAATAAATTATGAGCATTTATTAAATAATAATGCTCCATAAATAAAAGAAAACTTTGTTGTTTTTGTGCATAAAGAGCTCACAATTGTGCAGTCAAAATGTAAACTAAAAGACGCTGAGCATAATAACAAAGACAGATTTCACAGCTGCTCTGTTCCCAACTTCTACTGTGTGACTGACAGCCTGGAGTTTGAAATCCTCTTCGTAACCATGTCTCTTAACAGGTGCCATTTATGGTCCTTATACACACACAATACGGTAATATTACATTGAAGCACCGTACGTATTACTCCGCGAGGCTCCTCGGTAGCTGTAATGCTCTGACAATCCATCAAGTGGTGCAGCTCCGTAGCTCACCAAAGTCGTACCAAAACATTTTTTGACAGATTGCTGAGCGCCGTGTACCACATAAAATCGGTTCGCGGTGATCAAGCACAACCAGAATTCATACATAAGGCGCGCTGTCAACTTTTGAGAAAATGAAAGGATTTTAGGCTGTGCAGCCCCTCTGGGCTGCGTGGCGTTAGCGCGGTTAGCTCATTAACACGTTGACGCCGTCCAGTCCCACACACAGGGCGATGGGTGGTAAGTCGTTAACGGAGATTTGCCGTGTATATCTTGTCGTTGCCTGCAGGTGAAGCGATGGGGGAGGGGAAGTTGTGTTCAGTGAAAGAGAGGCGAGGCAGAGTATCGTTGCGTAGAGTCAAAAGTTGACGAAAGAGAGGCAAACTTGCGGCTCCACAAGTATAATTACGTAACAAAGACTATATCGATATAAACGATATTGTCACATCTTATATCTCGTATAAAAATATCGATATTTTTTAAAAACTCGATATATCGACAGTCCTAACTTATTGTTTTGCCCCCTTAGCTCCAGGTGTTGTGCTAGACAGTGATCGTGATTACCGTCCGCGGGAGCACGCAGCTGCTTAAAGCTGTAGCGTCCAGATTACTTGCGTAGTCAGCTACTTCCGTACAACTGATATAAGATGCGGTAAGCTGAACACAGCTTCAACCGTCTGTTTGTTGAAAAATAGTAATGGACCGCATTTTCTTGTTAGTAACTGTAACGGCGTTGTAACGATAGGAATAGTAATTAGTTAGATTACTTGTAACTGAAAAACAGTAACGCTGTTAGTAACGCCGTTACTTGCAATGCTGTTATTCCCAGCACTGGTAACCATCCAGGTCACCAAGAACACTGAAATCCACAATGTAGTCCCGTAGTTGTATTCCATTTGTCCAATAAACACAGTGAGTAACAACTTACGACTACTAGTAAGACTTCAGGAAAAAGAGTTACCTACTGGACAAATATGGTACTTTACCAAAGTGGCAGTGCATCACAGGGGAAATGGAGAGAGATCTCATAGATGTTGAGTTATAAATTTTATTCACATCCATTAATCAGCCACGATGAAAGAACTGAAAGACTTGATATTTTGCTTCTTTATATCAAATATGTTTACATTGTAATTTACTTCACTTTATTTTAAGTGACTCTATGAATTTAAATAAGTAGGAACTATTTTATTTTGATGCAAAGATTTGCAGCACGAATAAAGATAACGATAATGTTAACATATCAGTGTTATATTTAACTGACACTACAATAAAAATATTTCTGATGCTTAAAATCAATAAAAAAAAAACATGATAAATAATTGCAATAGTACTTTTAGGCCATAATGGCACAGCCCTACATTCAATCAGCTTCTTGATTAGGTTAGCTTGTTTATTTCAGCAAAATGCCAAACCATATTCTGTATGTATTAAAAGCAGAGCACTGCAGTTCAGTGAAGTCCAGTTTTTAGGATTTTACAGTGTTTTGAGTTATTTTGAAGCAGTTTTGTAAGCTCTTGTCTTACAAAAAGATGCTAATTTGACAATTAAAGGTCTTCTTACATGTCACATTTCAAACTCAAAAAGCTGAATGAAGTCTTGGACTGATTGTGCTATAATCCAAACACAGACAATAAAGGTCAGAGGAGAAGGGACGAAGAGGGAAATAAAGAAGAATAGAAGCTGCAGTGTGGTTGTGTCTGGGGATTGATCCCTCTAGGAAGCACCCGGCTTCTCCTCAGAGAGCAAAGTGAGGAAGGCGAGAAAAGGGGAAAAAGAGAATGACTTATGAAGACACTCCACTTGAAAGAGATGTGTCAACACTTTGATGGCACAGAGTATTGGAGTATAAAGGCAAGAAAGAAGACAACACGGTATAGAGTACAGCATATGTAAAAGGTCAAACTAAAGAAAAAGGAGGTCAAAGAAAATATTTCAGGTAGAAGTACAAACACAAGCAGCACATGTGCAACGGCAGCACTTCAGTAATGTGAGCTGTTGCATTTTGTTGCACGTTTTGTCCAATAACTTTAGAAACAGGATCATATTTTAGTAATAGTAAATAATTTTCCACGAGTAAAGATTTTTACAAACAACTGCAAATAATCGCGTGTTAAGTTTAGTTCCTTAAGTGGAAAAAAAAAATCACAAGGTGTACTATTGCTAAAGTGTATTATGAAGAAAAAAATGTGTATAATCAACGGCGTGATCATAAAGTTCAACTACATTATTACTTAGCATTGATATAATACATATGAACGCTTTAGCTCATTATATAAGAATTTAGTTCCGCCAAACAGCAATCTAGCTGAGAAATCCATGAGCGAAAAGGTCAAGAAAACGTTGGTGTGACTGAGTGTGATATGCTCAGTCTGCGTTGCTTCTCACTCCCTCCCTCACTCACACACCTTTGCAAACAATTAAGATTTTATTAGCTGTTAATTGTTTTATTTGGCAGCAGATGGGGAGATGTAGGAAGCTAGAGAAGCGATGTGTCGCAAGTTGGGTGGTTATACAAAGAACAATAATGTGTTCAGATGAGACTGTTACCACCGTTAGACAACGTTTACTAATAACATGTAGATCTCCTGGGAAGTCGAGAGAAAAATGCTTCAGACAATTTATTATTTAAGAAGATTTTCAGCTAAATAATGTCTATAAATGTCTATGGAGCGCATTAGCTTGATTTATGTTCTCTCGCAGTCACTCCTCCATACATCTCAGGATTAGTGATACTAAAATAATGCAAAATCTTCACAAGTATAGAAAAGGCTTTTACATTTTTAAGTAACAATAAGCTAAAGTTTGCTTCTTTAATTGGCATGTTTCAGAGCATCTGATCGAAACTCTGTCCGTGTCTGCACTCACCACATGTGCTGGTACTTGCTCCAACCTGGCGGCAGGCGTACCGGGTCGGGGGTAAAACTGGTTGATGAAAAGACTGGGGAATCGATAGGCTTTCACTAAGTCTATGGTTGCTTCAAAGTCTTCCTCAGTCTCTCCGGGAAAACCACAGATTATATCTGTAGCAATAGTTACACCAGGGACTCTATAAGAGAAAGAAAGACAGAGACACTTAGTTGGAATTTCAAAGTTTTTGCTATATCCTAGAAAATCATTTTAAAAACAAATAGTGTATAAAAAAGGCATTCATCTCTATTTTTATTGCTCTGAAATGGAAACTAATCCCTCTCAAATAATGGATGTCTGTCCTGCTTCTTTTTTGTTACACTAAACAATTTCAGCTGATTGGGTAAAGATACTGGTAGCTACTTTGTAGCACAAAAAGTGTTGCACTAGCTTTATTGACAAATTGTATCGTGCAACCAAGAGTTACAGGACACTACTTTAGATGAAAACCATGTCATAGAACATCATGTTATCAACATTTACCTTTTAAAAATCCACAGCAAAAGATCCACTTTTGCTATGAAACCAATCTACAGCACTTTAGGACCACTGGTTCATATTATCCATCTTGTGGAACTACTTTTACTTTGGTTTCACACACAAAAACAAATCACAATACAATCACTGACAGCCAACTACTACCTAATTTATTACATAAGATTCTGCCCGAGTTTGGAAATCACAGACATTTGTCCACTGCTGCTGTGCACCTTTGAACTATCTAAGGCACCACAACATGAAAGGAGGGTAGTGCCTTTCCCCGTGGACTCAGGAGGATTCAGCCAATCAAAACCTAATTAGCAACCTCTGCTGCCGATCATTAGTATTTGATTATTGACCGGCTGGCTCATTGGATTAATCGGGGCCAGTAGAATGTTGTGGGAATAAATGCAATGATTTCTTCCATGTATTTTTGTTTGTATTGACAGCTGTTGGGTGGCTTGGAAAAGAACTCCATAGGGGAAAAAGGTGCATACCTATAGGACATGACATTCCCATTGAGACTGACAGCATGTGTTACCACAAATTTCAGCGATAACACCTAATCCCAAAGGCATTTAGGCATTTATTACTATTATTTATCACTATTTCTTCCAATTAACAGCCAATTAGCCCAAAAGCCCAAAGTAGCACAAGAGAATTCTTCTAAAGACAAAGCATTTTACAAGTACAGGAATCTAAATGATTTTTTGGGAAACTGGCCTTCCAATAGAATCTTCTGTAAAAATTGAAACTGGAAAAGGTTTTAAACAGAACAGAAAATAAAATGTATATTTAAATAAGCCAAACCACTGACTACAAGCTTTCTATCAAAGTACAACAGGCACAGAGTGGAATCAGAAGGAGCATCCTCATGTAACAGCACCCTGTCAAAGACAACTCACGAGACCATTACATGTAGCCTTCTATTTATGCCTTCAATCTGTTTTCTTTCTCCAGTCACTTTCCTTCTTACAAAGGCTTTCAGATGTGCTACACACACAGAAAAAGACAACTATAAGGAGTGTTTGGATGAAAATCCATGCAAAGCACAAGATATTTGGACAAAAATCAAAACGCACAAAGGCATATTAAAGGGCCTTACAAAGAGAAGACAGCTCAACAAAGAAATTAAGAGTGGAAGAGACACTTTCTCTGCAATCGACAATGTGATGCATCTTTAATTACATTAACTTCCTGCATCTGCAACCCCAAGATAACCTCTGACCTATTGATGACTTCCAATTGGCTGCTGGTCATTAATATTAAATCACAGCTTGCGGGCACAGGCATCCTTGACCTCTCAGATCTGCCTGACAACTATCATATGGAGAAGTGGAGCTACGTTTAAAACACAGTGCAAGGAATGGTCAAACAGCTGAATAAATGTATAATTCCCGATCGTTCATTAAAACCGATTCCTTGGATCTTCTGAAACTGCAGTTCTACTGAGTATTTCAAATAACTAACTAGTGAAGGCCTGTACCCTCCTACAACAATCAGTCAGCTAAAGTATCCTGAAAATGAGAATATATATTTCATTTTCTGATGATGAGCCTCCCAATTGTGTCAGTGTGGCCTACAAGCCACAATTAAGAAAGCCTGTGCATCACATGAGATTTAATCACACACACAAAATGAAAAGCTCATCTATTCTAAGGATAAAAGAAATACTGAATAAACTAATTTACTGCTATTTAAAGCTCTTGCTCATAATCCCCTGAGCTGTTTTATTAACGCAGTGGTAGGGAAGGTAAATAAAATTAGCACTATGAACAAACAAGCACTTTTTTCTAAATACAAAGACGTTTCTTGCATCTCCAGAGGGCACGTATATCTAATTTCCTATTGCCCTTGGGTAGTGGTGGCAGTGAGGAGTTAAAGGCAGGCACTAGGTGCTTTTCATTTTTGTAATACTACTAGAAACTCACACATTGCTGCTATGAAGAAAAATGCACAATTCAGGCCAGGGGTGCAAAATAACAGAAGAAAAATGGAATACTGAGGGAAAGAGCAGGAACTAGTGCGAATCGACTTCTGTGGCTTTTTCTTTCGGTGAAGGAGAGGGTAAAAAAATATGCGTGCGCACATGTGTCATTTTGACACCTCTGCCTCCTCCAGATCTAAGGGTGACAGAGGTGTGATATGTGATACTAATGAACAAGAACCACACTGATACTGTCCTTGTTAAAATGAGAGAGGAGAAATGGATCTTGTTATTGTTCACCTTTCAAAAACAGAGTGTGAGAAACAAAGAACCAAAGATAGACCCAAAGAAAGAAAGATGGGAAGTAAAAAAAATCAAGGAAAAGATGTAAAATTACATTTCAGCTCAACTCGCTTTCAATTAAAGCGGTGCAGAACAGAGCTATTTTTACAAACTTCAAATCCTGAAACACTGGTTTGTCTTTTTAACCTTGTATTAACATTTGCCACAAAACACCGGGCATAATTTAAACAGCGGATGAGGCATGCATACGTCTTTGAATCCTTAATAAAGCCTGCAAGTTTTGTATCCTTCCACTGAATTTTTTAAGCTCTATTTTACACCTATACGCCTAGAAAACGCTTTCTGATATTCAGTAGCGCTCTAATGCTGCTCTTACAACTGTTGCTTGTGAGAATTTTGAGGATGCGCGCTTTAAAAATGCGTAGTCTAAGGAGCTTGGAAAGAAAAGCGTCTGGACTTCTTTGAGTTGCTTGAAGACGTTTCACCTCTCATTCGAGAAGCTTCTGCAGTTCTAAGAGTCAGTGATGGGGAGTCCCAGATTTAAACCCAGTGGGAGTGTCCCCCCCAAAGAGGGACAAAGGACCCCCTGATGATCCTCTACCTAATCACATGAGCCAAGGTGTGAAAGCGGGTGTAGGTCCCAATCAGCCAGGGTTTGGGGTGAGCTCATTGTGAAAACTGGCCCCACCCTATCATGTGATTTCCGATGACCTGGATGACTGAGAACCTTCAGACATATTTAAAAATGCGTGTTTTTCAAACCAGTAGACAAACCAGTAAAGATTTACCAAAAAAACCCCAAAACTGTGTGTGGAAAGGAGATAAACAGAAAGCAGAAAAGGACATTTCAATAACTGAGGCATTAAAAGTGAGTGAGTGACAAAAGTGTTAAATAAAGATTTTATATTTATTAAAGAAAAGCCCACAGAGGGTCTTATTTGCCACAAAACACAGACAAAAATAAATGTATGTTAAAAATATATTGTGAAAGAAGCATCATCATCAAAGTCTAAATATGAAGTTTCATATGTTAAACTCAGCAGGATTTAAATAAAGCATAAACATCCTCCGCTTTCACCCCTACTGACAACTTACAATCTCCCCATATATGAACCATAAACATATATTTAGGATGCATGAAAACCTGCATTTAATTTGGTCACTATTTGATGAAGTCCGAGACCATGGATGTGTTATAATGGAAAGCAAATGAATACCTTGAGAATATATTACACATGTGAAGAGAAAAGAAAGAGCATACAGTCAATCGCTACTCTAATGACTAATGGTGAGACTTCAGCAGGTGCTTAAAAGGCGCTGCTGAAGAAAATCATGTGTCTTTGTCTGTGTATTTTCCTCTCTGTCACTTCTGCTCCTGCTTCACTGAGGCAAATGGACAACACCCCCATAGACAGCAGCCTCCATTAGCTATTAGTTAGGTTTTAGTTAAGTTTTGCACAGGGGGACAGGGAACCATCACGAAGGCTAAACTCTACTATTAAAATCTCCAGCTAATCCCTAATCAGCCTGGATGGGCTGAATTAAGCTTCAGAAATCTCACCATCAACTCTTTGTTTGCTAAAGACTTCACACGTTCAATACATACGTGCACGAGTCCCCATAGACACAGAACGAGCCTCGTCATCGGATATTTAAAATATGTGTATGTTTGAACAACAGATGCCTGTGAACGTGGCCTGTGACAAAATGAAGGCACGGCCACTGGGACGGGAAACAAACCAAAACGCAGCAAGCGACAAAATAAGTATACGGTATAAAAAGGTGGAGGAAAGAAGGATGAGATTGGAAGAAAGACAATCTGGCATGGTAAATATTTACCTATTCATGTGTGGGAAAGAGACCATGTCTGCCATCTGTGCTGCATTCTGTGTGTGTGTGTGTTCTCTGAAATGATAATGTTTGGCTCAGTCGGGCTCCTGTAGCGTAGGAGTCAGGAGGTGAAGAGAAAGAGATACGGCAATAAGAAGAGATGTAAATTAAGAGCTTTGACAGATTTTTTGTTAAACGCAAAAAAGTTGGCAAAAATCTCTTGAAGAAACTTCAAGTCCTACATACAATCACATTAACATGTAACCTGACAGCTTAAGTAGAAAGTGTAATTATGTGTGAGGAAGGGAGCGAGCAGCAGCTGTAATGAGACTGAAAACAAATTCTGTTTGAGAACTATAGCGGGAGAATTTCAGGTCTGACATAAGCAGTGCTGATGTGAGGAAGAGCAGTGGGAACTGCGCTACGGATTTCAAGCTTTAAGATCCATCTGTCCAGTCCAATACTCTAAAATAAATAATCATTCATGGGTTTTTTTTCCTCTTTTTGTCCAAGACAGCAGGGCACTTGAAAATTCTAGCTCTAAAAAATAGACCGGTAAATGCTTTAGACTCATCTATTACATAATGTCCCCCTCTACA